ACATTCCAAATAAGCCCCTAACCACTCTTTTAAAAAATGTAACATCGTAAGCACTCACTGATATAGCTCTGTGCCAGGCATCACGTTAAAAAGATCATCCCATTTAATCCTCACAACCGCCCTAGGAGGTACATTATTGTCTCACTTGGATTCCTTTGAAAACAGAGCTCAAGACAAGGGCTTCATGCAGTACTGTTTTGGGGGAGGTAATCCTTGAAGACAGGAATAACAGCTAGAGAAGGCCAGACAGGGGAAGAGGAGAACGAACCAATAAAAAGATTCGTTCTTAAGCCACCATGGTGGGCAAAAGGGACTTCATTCTGCCTGCCCTCCTGAGGAAAGATGTGGAAAGAGAAAGATGCCTCCCACAATTGTCCAGCAGAAGCACAGGAGGCCACTGGTTCCTGTGCCCGACTGATCAGGGGGTACCCGGGAGCCAGGGAGCTCTCACAGGGCAGAAAGCAGAGAAGCTAGGCCTTGACTGCTCTCAGGAAAGTGGAAGCAGCCAGTAATGGCCCACTGCTGCCATGGTTCAAATCGGAGGTGAAGTATGTGAGCTGGGGCAAAAGACTCCTGACGCAGTGATTATCTCCCCGTTGTACAGAGAGGAAAATATGGAGGTTCGCTCACTGCTTAAGGTCATAGGCTGGGCAGTGGTAGATCCAGGTCTCAAATATGGGCCATCTGGCCCCAAAGTCCATGGTCCTAACCACGTGCTATCACCACAGCCCTCACACGAGGGAGGATGATGGCTGCATTCTACTCTCCCCTGGAGAGGGAGCAGCCCATCTACCAATTCAATTTGGAATCCACATTTGTGACATTTACTCAAACACTGCATTTACTTCTTTGAGAATTCATTTTTTTTAAGTTGCAACAACACACCAAAAAATGCTACTGCAAAGTTACATCTGCATTTATGGGAAAAAAATGAATACCTTTCACTTGAGATCATGTAGGAAGAGAGGGTTTCCGACAGTATATATCACTTTAGGGACAAGAAGAAACAAAAACACATAGCTCACACAACCTTTTCTGAGTTCAGAAAGTGCTTTTCAATTTTTTTATTAAAATGTAATTCTTCAAAGAGTATAGAAATACACCTGGCAATGACCTGTTAGAAGTCAACCATCTGCTTCAAACATACAGAAGAAATACCTACTAAATTCTGCCTCATCAGAATTTATTAAGTTGTACATACATATATATTATCAGAACAACACCAAAGTGGCTACATTTGACAGATTCTTCTAAAGTGGACACAATTTTCTGACAGATTATGTTTCCCCTTGATGAAAGTTGTAACAATTGGGAAGGTTTTCAAAGATAAGCTTGAAGGACCACATGGTAACTATCAGGGCAAGAAGCTACCGGTGGCATGCACACAGGGCCCGGGAGGCAGAGGGGGCAGGGAAAGGGGGTGGCAGCCCCCGGTTTCTGCTGTGAGCACACAACGCTTCGACGAGACAAAACACACAGAGGAAGGCACAGCCTCTGCAGAGAAGGCTCTTCGGGTTCATGTTCTGGAATTACAAGACACCGCACCCAGCAGAGGATAGGAAAAGAGATTCCTGATAGTCTGAGCTTCCTCTGAGGGCCAAGGGCCAGTGTGGGGGAAGGAAAGGATACTTGAGGACCACAGCCTTCGGGATGTGGAAGTGTGCGGTGAGAAGGCCCACTTCCTTTCAAGCTTGCTCAAGGCACTGGATGGGCTCCCTTAGGTGCTGTTAACAAGAACAATAAGCCCTAGAGAGAAGAACAAGGCTGGCACTTGAGTCATCTGTGGTTTGAATTCAGCCCCGTGAAAGCCACCTTGAGTGGACCCAAAATGCTTGTGAGAGCCCCCCGGGGACTAACCACTTGAAGACACTGTCTTCCCTCTACTATCTACTCTGGCTGCTGCTAAAGCTTCACTGGGAAGGAGGAAGTGGAGAGCTCACCTGGGCTAGGCGTTGCGCTGGCCTTTTACAATGATTCATTCTTTCTCTGTGTCATATTCCTCCTTTATGTCCAAAATGAAAGGAGAGCCACAGTTGCACAGACCGAAAAAGAGATTAGCCAAGCCTGGGTCGGGAGTCCTCCGGAAAAAGGAGCCATTTTTGTCAGCCTTTTCCCAGTCTTTTGGGCAGAATCAAGTAAAAATCAAGACGTTTTAGCTTGATGTTTCCAGAGGACCCAGTTTACATTAACTTGGCATTTTTAAATTATAGAAGTTTTGCATGGGATAATTTTTTTCAATATACTTTATTCCTACTGATTGCTACTTTCAGGTGAGAATACATAGGAAGAAAACAGACTGTAGTGTGTGGACATTTCAGTCTTTCTTCTCCACCTCTAAGCTTCTCTCTCATTTGTTGAAAAAACACAGTTTAAGGGGGAAAGACATAATAAAGAGCTTGCAGTATTTTCTAAACAACACGGTAAACATGTCTTTCTTAGTGATGTCAGGCGAAAGTCAGGATAATCCAGGACAGAGCATCTCCCTAACCACCAGGCACATCTAATTTCCATGTCTATCAAGCGGGGGCGGAACAGCCGTTCCTCAGCCTCATCCCAGGGCAAGGATGAAGGGCATCGGGACAAACTGCAAGTCATATGATGGAGCCTCCTAGAGAAGAGGAGTCAAACGCCAAGTCCCTGTCTTCCCTGAAGGTGCAGATCAATGTTAAACATTTTTAATATTTGTCATATTTAACTCCATCAAATAGGCGTTTTCTTTGTGGTCACACTGCTCCACAGTTATCTTGGGCGTCTCTTGGAGTGCCCCTGCTCTCTTGGATCTCATGGACATTTTTCTTTCTGTGTATTCTCTGCTGGACCCTCAAAACTGAGGAGTCCCCAGAAAATGCACATGGAGTAGCTACCCCAAGACCCATTCCACACTGCCCAGTTCTCATCTCCACAGAGAGGAATATGGACTTGACTAAGGACATGGATCACTGGGATAAATATATATACTCTCTCAATTAAGAGGACATTTGATTTTTTAGAGATTTCCCTCTTGTCCAAAACCCCTGGCCCAGGCAGGAGGCAACAACCCATCCCGGGGTGCCATGTGATCCCAGGAATCACAGAGCCAGCACAAAGGCAGGGCAGCAGTGAGGGAGCTCCCTGATGTTCCCAGGGATTTTCCGCCCTTGCTAGGAATCCACCTTTGGGAAAATGCTCACTTTATTGTTTCTGCTCATCTTCCGCTCCACCCTGCCTACCTTGGGCATCTTTGTCTGGATCAGCTCTTCTGGGGTGTTACCCAAGGGGGGAAGCAGCCGCTTCTTGCTGTTTCGGGTCTCTGAGAGCCACTGAGGAGGCAACTCGAAAGGCCCGAAGCCGAACTGCAGGGAGTATTTGTCAGGGAGTGTGTCTGCTTCCACGGGGGCTGCTGGTGTCACCTGAGATACAGAGTCCACTGTGCCCAGGGGTGGCGCAGGGGGCACACACTGTGGTCCCTCCTCTCCCTCCAGGCAGGGGCTAAGTATTACCTTGGCCTGGAGGTCAGCGCAGCCAGTGTACTTGGCCTCACTCTCTTCCTCATCCTCTGTGGGTTTAAAGATCTGCTGCTGCCCAATGTGGAACATCTCCAGGAGCTGGCTTCCCGAGCGTATGCTGGGCTCCAGGCTGGCATCAGCCAGCCCGCTCCCTGTCCCCACCACATTACGGCGGCTGCACCGGTGGTGCAGTTGTAGCAAGGTCCCTACCAAGCACTTGCGGACAGATTTGTTCACAGTAAGGAAAAGCACGGGGTTCGCCAGCAGAGAGACTTTGGGCAGCCAAATGGCAGTGAGCAGCAAGAAGACAGAAGTGTTGGGGATGTTGAGCACGGTCTGGTAGACAACCAGGGTGACGTAGGGCACACTACATAAGATGAAGACCGTCACCATGGACAGCAGGGTAGCGTGCAGCTCGGCCTCCCTCTGGGAGGCGTAGGGGATAGAGATGGTGTTCTGCGGAGTCCGCAGAGCTGCTATGACGACCTTCTTCTTCTGGCTGGCACTCAGGGCCCGGCGGATCAGGATCAAGAAGAGGAAGACCACAGCCACAGGCACGATGACCGTGGTGATGTTATAGATCAGAACATACACCAGGTGGCCCAAGGAGTTGCTCCAGACTTCGCTGCAGGTGGACATGGCATAGATGTCGGCCACATTGGTCACCGCAAACACGGGGATGCTGGCCACCACCGCATGGGCCCAGATGTACATCACCAGTTCACGGGACTTGGCATCAGATATTTTTCTCTCCAGTGGATAGAGGACTGAATAGTACCTGAAAAATACACACACACAATTCATTTCATGGGAGAAGGTATGCTTTAAATTAGGGAAATCTATATTCTCGAAATTGGGAGAGGGGAAAATGGGTCAAGTTCTTTTACTCTGACTATGACAGAGGAAATCACTGGGGGAATTCGGAAGCCAAACCTTAAGTTTTGAGGACTCTGCTATGTAACTCATAGCTAGCTTTATAATTACTGCCACCAGGATTAAGTCCCAAAGAGTGCTCTCAATGTAAAGGATGTCTCCATCTGCTGTAAAGACATCCATTTTTCAATTTAAGGGTAAACGATAATTTGTAAAAAAAAAAAAAAAATTTTTTACATGGGCTAGAAAAGATTTAGGGCAATTTTCAAAGCCACTAACAGAAAGAAATTTGTCTGCACACATTTCCAAAGCACACCCATGCCACAGTGTATGCATGGGTATCATTAACTTTACAGCTGCACCGAGCAGAATAACCCAGTTTGAAGGATGGACTCTGACAAAGTCCTCCCACAAAAGCAATTCAACAGACAAAAATTATGTCTGCTCAACAGCTGTTGTTCCCATGATAATCACTTACTAACCCCTAAGAGCAATTAATAGATCTAAAATGCCTGCATGATTAGATTTTTGTTAAAATTAGATAAAAACTTTTTTTCCTTTCAAGTTTTAACTCAATTATTCTACAACCACCTAATCAGAATTCCAAAGGCGCCTTGTTTCCATATCACCAATGATTTGGGGGAGCTGAGTAATTCTTCAGACCCTAGAGCCACATCTGTCAGGAAAGGGCGGCCACTGGCCCTCAGAGATATGGTGATTACCAGAGATTAGCTCTGCCCCCCCATCTCTGCAGTCAGCCAACGCTGGAGTCAGTCTTACAACCCTGTTAACATTCACTCACAGGGCCTGGAAAGCATGCATCCCTTCTTGCCGTAAGGATTTCTGAGCACCACCTATGTGCCCAGTACTGTGCCAGGCACTGGGTTACAAACATAAAAAGACATACAGAAATGTTTCTAAACTCAATGGGGGGAAAAAGCATTCAAACAAACAATTATAAATGAGAAGATGATGTCTGTACTGGAGATAAGCACAGAGGAGGTATGGGAAAGGGAGCACCTGGGAAAATGTCAAGAGAAGGCGGCACTGTGGTGGAGTTCAGCAGGGCTCAAGCTGGGGAGAATGTTCAAGGTTGAAGGAGATGCAATGTAAACACAACATGACAATGGATGATCGGAGATGGATGGAGCATGGTGAGATATGTTCTAGATCTCTTTCTAGGAGGGAAAAAAGGAGAAAGACATGCATAAGTTATGCATGCTCTCAATGTTATTTCTCTGAATGTAGATAAAGTTTTCTAACCACAACTCTTTAAATCCAATGTGATGGCCCCATACCCACTCACGAACACATGCTCAGGAGTCCACTGTCTCTGATTCCCATTTGCTCACTGGCAGATAACAAACCCCGGCTTCCAGTCATTTCCACTTCCATTACATATTGGGAAATGGACTGCAACACCAGCACACGGGCTCATTATAAACAACTGTGTTAGTGTGTCCAACTCTAGAGGATAACACAGGAAGCGTAAGTGGCCTCCCACTTAACTTGCTGAGTTGGTGCCATGAAACAAGTATCTGAGAAGAAAATGAAAGAAAGGATCAAGCCTTCCCTGTCTCTTCATGCATACCATACTTAAGCTTACAAGTAATCTGTATCTCTCAATAATAAAATAGAAACTCATCAGTCTTGTGTTTCTACTAAAAGGACTTGTTTACCTTTAAAAAAAATAATGGAAAATATACAGTAGGTGCTCTGAGGGAAAGAAAATAAGGATTTCTTATTGTTAGCATATTTCCCTAAGACTGAGGGCCCAGGAACCCACATGTCATTACTGCATTAATTCCAAGTCTAACAGAAAAGTGTTCAAAATAATGTGTTCCCACTCTTGTTGAATCTTAGTCTTAAAAAACTTTCAAGATTCATAGAGGCATTATTCATAAGAGCCAGAAAATGGAAACAACCCAACTGTCCATCAACTAGTAAATGGATAAATAAAATGTGGTATATACATACAATGGGCTATTATTCAGCAATAAAAAGGAATGAAGTAAATTGTTAAGAGAGTAGATCTTAAGAGTTCTCATTACAAGGGGGGAAAAAATTTTTTTTTTGGTGTCTATATGAGAGGATGGATGTGTGGTAATCATTTTACAATATATGTAAGTCAAGTCATTATGTTGTACACCTTACACTTATACAGTGCTGTATGTCAATTATATCTTGATAGAACTGGAAGGGGAGAAAAAAGAAATGAAGTACTGATACATGCTACAACATGGATGGCCCTTGAAAACACTATGCTGAGTTTTAAAAGAAACCAGACATAAAAGAACATATATTGTATGATCCCACTTATATGAAATGTCCAAAAAAAGCCAACATATAGAGACAGAAAATCGATTCGTGTCTGCCTAGGTCTGGGCATGGGAATGAGGAGCGAGTGTAAATGAGTGTAAGGCTTCTTTTTATAGTGATGAATATATTATACAGTTCGGTTGTGGTGATGGCTGCACAACTCTATAAATATACTAAAACTCATTGACTTGTACTTTGAAACTGGGTGAATTTTGTGATACATAAATTATCTCTCAATAAAACTGTTTTTAAAAATCTTTCAGAAAAGTCCACAGTACGGATTGAAGACTTAAGACCTCCTCACTGAGCAGGTCGAACAAGGAGCAGTTGGAAGGACACCCACCATGAACACAGAGGAGTTCAACACAAAATTCATAAAATTCATTAGAGCACCCACCGAGGTGTAAATTGACTTTTCACTCTGACTTTTCATTCTAATGCTGGAGAATGGCACTTCTCAGATAGTCAATGACCTCTTGTTGAGCATGGAAGAGACAGGCAGTCCCTGCAAAGCAGGCATGGCAAACTGGCATTGCATGGTGCATAGTCAACTTGCTGGAGAGCTTTGAGTGGTCCACATGGTACTTTTTGAATGCAAGTTAACTGCAAATAGTAAAAAATGATAGCATTCTAGGTTCCTAATTTCTCTTCTAAGAAAATAGAAAGTCCTGCCCACTGAGTCTAGATAGCCACAAAGCAACTATTAGCTATATCAGCTGAGTTACTGGCCCCAATGAACAGGAATGCAGACACACAACCCCAGCCTGGCTATGTCACTTGGATTTGTCACCTGCCTCATCTGCCCCTGTGGACGGTGAGTTTCTAGTGAGAAATTTCCAGAGCTGGCTCACAGGGAGCTCTGATGGTAAAATGATTGCAGACAGTACATCTAAGGAAGAATGTGGCAATAAGAAATAAAGCCTAGGGCCGGCCGAATGGCGCGTTGGTTAAGAGTTGGTTTGGGAGAGCGAGCTCTGAGCAGCAGGGCCACTGGTTCAGATCCCACATGGGCCAGTGATGTTGCACCCTCTACAGCTAAGAAGGTAAACAACAGCTCAACCTGGAACTGGGCTGCCATGAGTCGCCGGTGACGACGTAGGCTGCAGTGGGGCTGCCGTAAGCTACCGTGAGTGGCCGGCAGCCAGCCTAAGTGGCCGGCAGCCGCGTGAGCTGCCGAGAGCGGCCGTCCAGTGGCCGGCGACCGATCTGCCTCACCCAGAAAGAGCGCAATGCTCACAAGACCAACATGGGCCAGTGAAGCGACACCCTCCACAACTAGACTGAAGAACAAAAGGACAGCAACTTGTCTGTTCCCCTTCCCCCGATTCCCCAACGCTGTTCCCTTCCCCAATTCCCCAATAAAATCTTAAAAAAAAAAAAACAAGGAAAGAAAAAAGAAACAAAGCCTAGAGAAAGAGGCAAATATTGGTACGACCTATCCAAGCACAAGCTGTAAACAATTCATTTAATTCTTCTTACTGTTGAGAAACCTGGGGCTCAGAAAGGTTAAGCCACTTTGCCCAAAGTCACCCACCAAGAAAGCAATGTAGGTGGGACTTAAAGCCAGGCTTCTCCAGAGTCCCCTCTTAGGCCAACGACTTCTCCTAGTAAGCAGGGACTTTGCCTTATTCTGTGTCCCTCCATGCAGATGACACTGGGCAGCTAATGACATCAGGATTCAGGCCTGAGACGTGACTCCATAAATTGGTTCTGCAATCCATACCCTCCCACGTCATTAAGACATTAAGTATGTTTTGGATGGACAAAGAGTTTAAAATTCCAAATTCATCTAAAATGTAGTTAAAATTATCACAGGGTATAAAGTCAAAAGAGCTAGCCCAATCCCTTCAGCAACTTTTCCTTCTTGTAAACCTTCAAATCAAAAATACCCGTGAACACAAAATACTTTTCAATTCTTGTTTGCTTATTTAATAATTCTATTCTCTAAAATGTATTATCTCAACTGTATTCATGACACACTAGCAATAAAGGGAAAAGGCAGGAAGCTGTTGATTACTGAGATCTTTACTCTGTGATAAATTTGATCATGTTATGTACGATGACAGTAGCTAAGAGAAGATTCATTTCCAAATGAACGTCCTTTTAAAGAGGATGGGAAGAGAAAACAACAACCATCATAATATAAAGCCTTGGAAATAAATTCTCCAAAAGAATTCTGGTGTTATCTGGCCAGGTCTAACCGGACTGTCTAATCATTTGTTAAACAACCAGTGACTTGTTCTCTTGTTCTCCCAGAAGTGTTTTCATCAAAAAGTCCTAATTGCAGCGTTATCAATCAGATAAGCAATCTACTGCAAATTGCAACACAAATACCACAGATTCCAACCATGATGAAGCTACACCAGGAGCCAGTTGTCATGGCCCAGCATCCTCATGAGGTAACCCCCAATGTCACAACTTTTCTCAATGGCACTGTTTTCCATACCTGCTGTTAAATCAACCCGTCTTTTGTGAGGCATCTGTTTTGACAGCTCATTCTCCTTGTTGACCACAGGCTGACTAAAAAGTGGAACCATGACTACTTCCCATTTGCTTCGTGATGCTAATATTTCAATACACTTAAACAAAAAAAAATTGAGCCCCTGGCTACCTGATCTTACCTGTCCAAGGCAATGGCAGGGAAGCTGAGGATAGTCACCGAGCAGAAGACTTTGTGCAAGAATTTGACAACCTTGCAGAAGAGCATGGTATAGATCCACCAGCAACAGTGAGGGCTGGTGCTGAGTATGATGTCAAAGGGCACGCAGACCAGGCTGGCACAGATCCCCGAGCAGGCCAGGTTTTTAATGAACCTGTTGGTGACAGATTTGAACACGGTTGTGCGGCAAGTTGACCATAACACCATGAAGTTTCCTGGCCAGATACAGGAAAAAAAAAATTAAAAATAAAAATAAATTTTAAATAAAAGAAAGAAGACAAAATAAGAAAGAAATGCAGGTTAAAAATGATCAAAAACCACATTTTAGAGTTGATTTCAAAGGATTTATCTTAAATACTTATATTGTCAATTTATGTGAAATTATTAAATCACTTATGTACATCTCAAAATGTCTACAAAAATTTTTAGTGGTAAATTTTGGTACTTAATTTAGGCATAGTAGTATTATGATGCTGATTTAGTCTCTTCTGAGTATAAACAATTTGCTAGGTATTATTTAATCTCAGGCAATCTGCTCTCACCAGGTTTGCAAATGACTTTCACATTGCCGAAGTCTGCAACAGAAATGGGATGCAAGCCACACATGCAATTTTAAATTTTCTAGTAGCCATATTTTTAAAAAGTAAAAAACAGGTGAAATTTTAAGTGTATTTTATTTAACCCAATATATCCCAAATATTATCATTTCAACATGCAATCACTACTTGAAAATGTAGTGATGAAATATTTTTCATTCTTGTTTTTGTACTAAGTCTTTGAAATCTGATGTGCATTTTTAAAATTGAAATATAATTGACATACAACATTGTATTAGTTTTAGGTGTACATGGTGTGCATTTTATTTTATACTTACAGCCCACATCAATTTGCACTAGTCACATTTCAAGTGCTGAATAGTCACATGCAGCTAGTGGTAACTGTTACAGGAAAGCGCTGCTCTAGACCATTAGCAGGAATGGCACATCTGACTGGCTCTCACTGAGCAGTCTCCTCTCGTGACTTCCACAGGCCTACAATCTCCTGGTTTTCCTCCCACCTCTCCCAAATCCAGGATGCTCCGTTTTCTTTACTAGGCCCTTCTCTAGCTCTATCACCTCCCCCCTCCCCTTCCCTCCCCTCCTCTTCTCTCTCTCCACACTCTCCCCAGGTTAGATTACCCATTCAAGTGGCTATCTATTGAAATGCTGATGACTCCCACATTCAAGTCCCAAATTAGGCCTCGCCTCTCAACTCCAGGCTCCTATTTCCAACTGAAAGTCTGATTCTGAAATAGTCATGGGGATGTCAAGCATAGGGAATATAGTCAATAATATGGTAATAACTATGTATAGTGCCAGGTGGGTACAAGACTGTCAGGGGGATCACTTCATAAGTTATATAAATGTCTAACCACTATGCTGTACACCTGAAACTAATATAAAATAATACTGAATGCCAATTATAATTGAAAATTTTTTAAAGGAGCGGAAAAAGCGAAGGGGGATACGAAGTTCAAATTTCCAGGTATAAAACAAATAAGTCATGGAGATGTAATGTACAGCATAAGAAACAATTTAAAGAAAAAAGTCTGATTCCCCACCCCTGTCAATCTGTTACGCCTCCCCTTGGTCTTCAAGAGCCTACAGATCCATGCCTACCTGCCTAATCTCACTCCTCTCTTCCCCTGGCTTGCTGGGCACCAGTCACTGTAGCCTTTTTTTTTTTCTGTTCTTGAAACAGAAAAGGCACTGTCTCAGTGCCTTTGCACACAATTTTTATACTTCCTAGCATGCTCCTCATATGGCTGGTTCCTGTTAATCTAAGTCTTAATCTCATGGCTGCCTCCTCAAAGAGAAACTTCTCTAATCATCTCTTTATTTTAAATACTCCCTCCATTATACTCTAGTATAATATCCTGTTATGGCCTTCATAGCTCTTATCATAATTATTGTTTCTCAGCATTGCCTGCAGACATGGGATCAGCTCCAGCTACAGAAACAGCTTTTCCTACAAGAAAGAATGACATCCTTTGACTGGATTTTTTTTTTTTTTAAATTTAGCTAAGCCATCCTGCCACCTGTTGGCAGCTCAGCAGCAGCTCAGCTCGGGCCGGGAGTCGAACCGGTGACCCTGTTGCTCAGAGCTCGCACTCTTGAGCGAGCTCTTAACCAACTGACCCACTCGGCAGGCCCTCGACCAATTTTTTATTATCAATGATCACTGACTCATTGTGTGTCTCCCAGCTGCTCACTGCCACTGGCCAAACAAAAGAGACAGAGGATTTTAATTAACTTTTTTTTTTAATTGGGGAATTGGGGGATGGGAACAGCGCTGGGGAATCAGGGGAAGGGAAAAACAGACAAGTTGCTATCCTTTTCTTCTTCAGTCTAGTTGTGGAGGACGTTGCTTCACTGGCTTAAGTTGGCACTGTCATTGCGCTCTTCCCAGGTGAGGCAGATCAGTCGCCGGCTTCTGGACTGCCGCTCACTGCAGCTGCTGGCCGCTCACGCTGGCTGCTGGCTACACACGGTAGCCCATGGCAACCCACTGCCACAGGGGCTGCAGCCTACGCCGTCGCCGGCGACTCACGGCAGCCCAGTTCCAGGTTGAGCTGTTGTTCAGCATCTTAGCTGTAGAGGGCAGTGTCACTGACCCTCATATGTGGGATCCGAACTGGGGTCCTCTGGCATCCCAAGCCAGCTCTTAACCACCGCGCCACTCACCCAGTCCTTAATTAACTTTTAATCCATTTATTTCCATTTTAAAAATAAGCTCATGCATGCCATAACGACAAAGTAACTGGGGAACATACGTTTGGTTTTACAAAGAAGAGGAAAAAGCTGAAAAATATGGTTGCTTACTGAAAGTTGCACAGAGAAGGAGAAAGCAGGACAGAACAAAAGGGAACGCAACCCAAGAGCCTTGCTCTCCAGGCTACAGTTTTGGTTATTGTGCGATACAGTTTATACCTTTGCCATCAGGACAGCTTTAATTACTAGGAGGTCTAGAACTTCAGGGTACTATTTTTGTTTGGGGTTTGTTTTTTGTGCTTCCCACATGAAATACTTTATGGTTTCTTATAATTGCTTGGAGGTCTAGAACTTCAGGGCACCATTTTTGTTTCAGATTTGTTTTTTGTGTTTCCCACGTGCAACACTTTATGGTTTCTTATATAATCTTTTATGGTTTCTTAAGCTAACACATGGTTAATTTTTTTAAATTCAGACAATACATGAAATTATAAAGAAGAACATAAAAATTACCCACCCAGTGATAATCCTCTGTAACCTTTAAGAATTTAGCCTTCCAAACATCTTTTTATATATACAGACTTCTGTTTATGCCAGTGGGACCAAACTACGCACACTGATTTCTAACTAGATCTTGTCACCATATCAACCATCTTGTTGTGACAATAGATAAAAACAGATGTATATCATCATTTTTACAGCTACATGAAAGCAACAGTACTTTTATAGCTATACCCTAATTTATTTCATCTATTGCCTATTGGTGAGTTTTTAAAGCTGTTTCCAATATAGCTCTATTATACAATGCTGAGATCAACATCCTCACACATATAATAAATCTTTGGGAATTGAACAGATCGTTTATTGAAAATAAATTCCTAGGAACAGAATTTCTGGGTCTAATGGTTTGCACATGTTATATAGATATTGCTAAATAACCCTCCACAAAAGGCATATGAGAGAAATGGATTCCCCATACGCTTGCTAAAAGTTCAGCAAGCTCACTAAAAGGTTTGGAATTTTGCATGCTTCCTCAATGCTAGGATTTTGTTTTTCTCATTTCTAGAAAATCTTCATCCATTGCCTCTTTGATTTTTCTCTTTATTCTCTTCTTCTGGAACTATTATTAGACTTATACTAGACCTCATTCAATTGGCTATATCTCTTGACCTCTCATTCATATTTTCCATCAATTTATCCTCTTCTACCAACTGAGTGATATTTCTCAGGTCTACTTTCCATTATATCAATTCTCAATTCATCTGGAATAATCAAATCATACCCTTTTTAAAGCTTCTTGAGCATTTACCTTTTTTGAAATTTGTGTTTGGGTCTATTTTTTATTCCTAGTGCCCGGTTAGTTTGCTACAGTTTCTGTTCCCTTCCTTAAGGAATATTATCTGTAAGAATAGGCTTGATAGGTTTCTAGGAGCAGCACCCCATCTGGAGAGGAGATGTACTTGCTTTGAGACGTGTCATGTGATTCAAGCCGAGGCTGGACATTCTAGAAAGGAGCAGATCTTGCAGCGGCTCCTGCCCTCGCTGCTCGGGAGACAAGGCTTTAGTGAAGTTACTGAATCCAGACAACAGGGAGGAGGTGGGAGTTACTGTATCGCACAGTAACTAAAACTGTAGCCTGGAGAGCAAGACTCTTGGGTTGCATTCTCTTTTGTTCTGTTTGGCTTTCTCCTTTTCTGTAATAATAACTTAATATCTGTAATCATATTTTTAAATGCTGATAATTTCTTTCAGATTGTTCTGTTGTGCCTAGCTGTAGAAGTGTAAATTTTGCCACTTGTTGGGTCTGCTGGTTCTCCCATATGGTTTCGAAAGTTCAATGATGAGCTCATAGTTTGTGGGGGTTGTTTTCCTGGGGTATGCTATATTCTCTGGCTGTGGAAGGGTTCCAAGTGGCAAGTCAAGCACACATTAGTACTTTGGTGCACCTTTGTGTGCATGTTAAAGACAATATGATTAAAGGACCGTTGTGATAAAGGTTGAGTGTATATGGAAATGTTTATCCTAGGGACAGGGAAGATATTTTGACTAAGAGCACAGACTGCAAGTTCTTACTCTGTATTCAGTCCCAGATCGACCACTTATGAGCTATGTGATCACATATGAATTAAACTCCTCTGTGCTTCAGTTTCATCATCTGTAAAGGGTATATGATAACAATGCCTGTATTCCAGGGATACTATAAGAATTAAATGAGTCAACACGAGTAATAGATGAACAGTGCTTAGAACAACTTCTTGTAACTAATATGCTCTATGGAAGTGTTACATGTTACTGTTATTGTTAGTTGCACAAAGGTTCCAGAGGGCACCAAGGAAAGAAAGGTCTGACAGAGAAAGAAAAAGTGAGAGGCTAAGCCAGCGGAAAAGAAACCTGGAGCCATATATAGAGAAGACAGAAGCGGACATCTCACCAGAGGGACTTGAAAGCAAGCAGGAGTGAGACAA